CAGGTGAAAATTACAGGGTATTTTGAGTACTTTTTATATTCAGCATAATTATGCTTAGTAAACCTTCTTTGAAAAAGAGTTCTCATGTTAGAACTTGAGTTGAGAATACTAAGATCTCTTTTAACAAAAGCAGAGTTGGTCTTGCATATATCTCTTAGTCTTTAATTTTCATTTTTGAGGTCAAAGACTTGTTTGTTCAGCTCCTTATTCCATTCACTTTGAACATTTAAGGATCTTTTCAAAGTCAAAATTTCATCTTTTTGGGCTTGATTATTAGTCATTAACATGCAATACTTACTTTTGAGTCTGTTACATTCTTCTTGAAGATTTGCTAATGCATGTAAAAACTCAGTTTTTGGTTCAGCTTTATTTTCCGTTTCTGATTCTGAGTTAGAAATTACCTAGTAGCATGAAGGAGGTAGAGGATCATGGCTAGTTGAATATTGGTTGTCGCTTTCATCTTTGGTTGCAAAAGCCATGTATGCTAGGTTTTTTACTTCTTGCTCATCTTCTGAGCTGAAATCACTCCAGCATGTTGCAAGAGCTTTTTCTTTTGTCTTGATGCTAGTAGGACATTTTGATCTCATGTGTCCTGGCTCACCACACTTACAGATGGTTAAATCCCTCTCATTGGAAGACTTATTGTCTTCCTTATCGAATCTGAACCTTTCTCGACCTTCTGAGAATCTATCATAAGACTTTGGAGAGTTTTTTTTCAAAATAGGACCTATTCGATGCATATCTTTCATTTGTCTTAGTGGGATTTTTTCCAGTTCCTTCCCTTTCTCTTTTATAGTCATAAGAGTGATTATTGAATCCTCTAGAAACATGATATGCCCTTTTTGCCTGAAAATCCTTCTTCATTTTGAGCATTCGATGAAATTTCCTACTGACTAGAGCGAATTCTTTTTCAAATTCCTCTCCCATGTCTACTTCAGAGTCACTGTCAAATTCTTGAGCTTTGAATGCTATAACTTTTCTTCTTCTATGATCTTCTTTGTTCATTTGTATTATAACTTCCTCATGACTTAACAATGATCCTACTAGTCTTTCAATAGACAATGCCTTTAGATCTTTAGCTTCTTCAATTGCTGTGCGTTTAGGTAACCATTCTCTAGGAAGACATCTCAGTATTTTCCTAACTAAATCCTTAGTTTCAAAGACTTTTCCTAGCCCTTTTAACCGATTTATCAAATCATTGAATCTTTTGTACATAGTAGAGATTGACTCACCTGAGCTCATTTCAAAAGATTCATATTCATTTAGCAACACATCTATTCTACTTTCTTTAACTTCAGACGTACCTTCATGGGTGGTCTGAAGAGACTCCCATATCTCCTTGGCTGACTCGCATTGAGCCACTTGACTCCTTTCTTCAGGGCTCATTGCTGAGAACAGAATATGCATAGCTCTGGAATCAAGCTGAGAGGAGATTTTCTGCTCTTCTTTCCAGTCTTCTTCATCTTCCATAGGAATTGACCCTTTTCTGACAACTGCCCACAATTCTCCATCAACTCCACGAACGTATATTCGCATCCTTTTCTTCCAAACGGTGTATCCATTCCATCAAACCACGGAGGCTTTGTATTTGCGGAGTATGCGACTGCGGTTGAGGGTGTTCCTGACATCCCAAGACCTTCTCTTTGGCGACGATTAATCTCACAAAGAGTAGGCTCTGATACCAATTGTAAACTCAAAATATGAGTTGCACACAACACGAGATTTCAATTGTATCTTTTCTAGACCAATTTCTTGTACAGAAAAGAGAAATGATTTTATTGATTTAGCGAATAGAGTTTAGACAACACAATGAACCCTAGCCAAGCCAAGTAACTTGGCTCTTTGAGAGAAACAACACTCAACACTCCTGCTTCCCAAGATTCGAATCACCCAGTACACTCACATACACTGTGATTCAATCTACTGAAGCAAATACATTCAAGGACCCAACGTAGAAAAGACTTAAGACCCAAAAGCTCTTCCTACGGACTGCCAAATTGTTATTGAGCAGAAGGCTTACAATTTATAGTGTTGAAAGCAGATGACCGTTGCCTAATCAGGAGCCTTCCTTAGTCTTCATCATTCGTTATCATAGAGATGGTGCTAGGTGGAGCAAGCTCGAGAAAGCTGAAGCTTCTGCTGAAAGAGGACGATCGAGAGAAGAGATCGGAGAGATCATCAATCGAGGAGTCCTCTCTTGACTTCGAAGGATGATGTAGCGAAACGGCGTCGTCGCAAGGTTCGTGAAACAGCATCATTGTGAAGTGCTTCGTTTTGATGATGATTACGTCGTTTCAGGGCCAACAGATGCCAAGCGGGCAAGTTTGTGGTCCCTTTATGAACGACGGGAACAAGTGATTCCTTCAAAAAAAAATAGGAAAAACATCAATTTGTTAGTTTAAATAAAGCAAAATAAAACCTTAGAAAATAATAAAATAAAGCAAATAAATCATCAAATCACCGGATTGTTATCCCAAATAGCACGGGAGCGATGAGCTTCTTGATCAGTTAAGAGTCTCATATCTCTTGGCCCATAATGGATATACAATCGAGGATTGTATATCTCGGCACCCATCTATAAAAAAAGTAATCAAATCAGTGATTGTTTTGATAAAAAAATCACAAAATCAAATTGTTTCGATTAAAAATAAAAACACAAAAAAAAACCAAAAACCTACACGAAGAGCCTCTTTCATCCATTTTTTGGAAGAAGCCGGACAGAGGTTCGACGGGGGTTCGACGCGTTTGGGTTTGTAAGGGACGGGAGCTTAGCGAGACGGGGGCTTTAGGGTCAAACTCTAGTAATTCTTTCTGATGTGGAAGATCGGACTTAGTCGTAACCACAGAGCATACTTAGAACGAGACTAGAGCGGATAAATTGAGTGAGAAAGAATTGTAATTGTTGTAGTGTGATTTGTAAGTGGGGGGAAGGGTCTATTTATAGTGGGGGGAAGGGGGGAAGGGTTCTGCCGAGAATTTAATTGGGGATGCTTCACCGTGTTCGACGAAGACGGTGAATACACCGCCTTTATCGAAGACGGTGAAAGGGGCGACGTGGCTTGCTGTGAGGCGTCGGATCTAGGAAGAAAACCACGATCCGCGCCTCACTGCATCTGACGGCCACGTTGAAAGGAAAAGCGACGCGGATCGCTGACGCAAACAAACACGGGGTATTCACAGTGTTTGTCTGACGCGGTGAATACATCGCGTTTGTCCACGTCAGCGATCCGCGTCGCTTCATCGTGGCCTAAAGAAACGGTTTAATATACACCACGTTTCATTAAAACGGTGATTGACTCGCTCATTGTTCACCGTTTTAGAGAAGAACGGTGAATACATCACCGTTTTTTTTTTACGGTGAAATATTCACCGTCTTTGTCAAACGCGGTGATAGTCTTCACTGTGTTTGTAAAAAACGGTGAATGCCAAACATGTGTACTTTGGGAAATTTTTTTATAACTTATGTATTTTGGAAAAAAAATTTAAGAACATGTGTACCGTGGGAGTTTTTCCGTACTTATGGGACTTGAAACTTGATGCAGGTTTATGAAGACTAATGACTTTGGTCATTTTGATCTTTCAAAATTTTATGTCCAGCCTTCCCCTATATAACGTTTTCGTTTCCTCCCCGTGTATTTAATGTTTCTTATTTATTAAGTCCCATCTTTAAAAAAAAAAACATGTTTGAGAAAATGAATATAATAAAGGGCAAATTTCACTAGAAAAAATAATAAAAGAACATGTTTGAAACGAGGAGTCGGATTAGGTGCTAACTCCTAATGGGGTTAGCACCATACTAACTAAAGGACAATTTAGTAAATATACCACCAAACCCTAATATAAATGCCAATTTTTTCCCCAGCCGCATACCCCTTCTTCCCCAGCCGCCCATCCCTCTCACTCTCTCTCTCATTCAGAGCCCCTTCATCGATTCTCCTTCCGGTCGGCTCTCTGATCTCCGACGATTCTCCTTCCGGTCGACTACGGCTTCATCGATCTTAGCCATGTCGGCCTCAGCCTCCCCGACAACTGACTCACCATCGCCCGCAACCGCTTCGCCCGCAACCGCCTCGACATCACCAACCGCCTCGCCATCGCCTTCAACCGCCTCACCATCGCCTGTACGCGTTCACCGCCATCAAGATCTGGTTCTTAATCCCCCATCGCCTGTACGCGTTCACCGCCTGTACTGGTTATGCTAAACAAATACAAAACGAATTCCCCCAAGATCTGGTTCTTTATCCCTTAAAGAAAGATGCTTTATTATTTGATTAGTAGTCATTTTGGGTTTGTAGTGATTGTGGAGTAGTGATTTTCATATGTATTAGCAGTTGAGCAGTCATATTTGTACGGTAGTAGTGTTTGTTCTGTGATGTGTAGTTATTCCCGTAGTGATTTACTCCTACCTAATCGTATTAGTAGTGATTATGTTATCATTACTTTCTAAAGTTCACCCATCATGAGTAACTTAAAATTTCTAAATCACTACTAATTACAACTAAATCACTACGAGAACAAATAAAATTTGCTAATACAACCACCAAAATCACTACCAATGAATGTAGCAATAGTGTACGGTACTATTTTTCAGGCCTACTACTAAAAGAAAGATAAAATATTTTAAGATTTATTTATTAATTAAATTAATTTTTTGATATACCAAATATGCCCCTCCTTATTCTCCAGCATCATATTTTAATTAAAAATAATAAACAGTGATTATAGTGGTTAGTACGGTAACTCCAATGAAGTTAGCACTCTAACCAGTCCCTTGAAACGATGCAACAGTAGAATGACAATTTATGACATCTCTATTATCTGTCAAGAAAATAGGAGCATAAATGAACTTTTTGTTTAAAAAAACATCGAAAATAAATACTTGTATGGTATGCACTCTACACAATTCTAAACAACCATCAGTTAGTTCAGTGGCCGTTCAAGCTTCAGTCAATCACTACACTTCCTGCCTAAATAATTAATCTCAAATAAAAGAATCAGTTTCAGTCAATCGCTACACTTCCTGCAGATGCCAAGTTAGCTGCGCGGTTGCTTCCAAAATTCTTCCGATTAGATTCTCTGGCAATTCTCGAGCCAAACTGCAGCAATGAAGGAGTTCAAACTAGAGCACAAGAAGGTGAATATTGTATAGCTGTTCAAAAGTTACATCCTTTATGGAACACAAATGCTCCTGAATTACCTGGATTGCTCTCTTAGGGAGGATTGATGCTTCTAGCAACCCGAGCAATCGTGCAACCTTAACAAGAAATGACGCATTGTGTCAGTACGTTGAAAGTTGAAACTGAGTAACGAACCAAAATTAAGGTGGGTTCATTTGTCAGTAGCAAGGCACTTCAGGGTACCAGAGGCTACACGTCAGATGTAACAACTTCGTTGATGAGGTTGATGATGGAGTACCCCTTGGTTGGCACATCTAAATCCCACAGAATGCAAACTGAAGAAAAAAGGAATTCGGTACAAACCTCTCTCAAGATCTTTTTATCCCCGACTCCACTTGGTTCATCAAGGTTTGCGACCTCCCATAATGGGATTTCAAGAAGAGTTTTGATCACATCTTCATCCAAGAACGGGAATCTAGCCTGTACATGCACCAAATAAGATAAACACTATGCAACAAGTGTAGAATGACAGAAGACGATATGCAACAGGCATTGTTTACGGTACCTCTTTTCCGTTGTCTGCAATGATTCTATCATCCCTCCCCATGTTCCGTTTCCATATCCTTTGCATGTCCAGTTTCATTTCTTCATGCAGGCCAATCCAACTGAGCATCAACGTTTCCAGAAACAACAATTAGAGCAAAGGTTGAAGATCTGATGTACTAGCTCCAATGTTCAGTTTATTACATAAGAACCAACTCCTCTCACATGGATTGTAACTTGTAACAACATTCAACACCAAAATGCTACCGTTTTATGAGTGAACTAGTTATCAAAAATGACTCCTGGTTTTTAGTTGATTGCTTTGATCCAGATTTACTTTTCTGAAGTTGATGAATAATGTTTTGCCAAATTTCCAATAGCCACAAGTCATACCTTCCACATCTGTACTTTGTTCTGTGCCTTCCATATCCAGCACACTGTTCGTCAGCTCCAGAACCAACAAGGACTATCCTAGCCTGGGACTTGTATTTTACACGTAGGTTCTCATCACTGGAACCGCAAGTGCAAGCACAGGTCCAACCATCACCACTTGCAGCAAGCCATAAAGCAGTCCCTATATTTAGGTCCTGCAATAGTAAGTCCATGAGTAACTCTCGTCTGGGAAGGTATATGTGTCCTCAAAAAAAAAAACAACTTAATGGCAACCAACAGTCAGCATATGAACAACATAGTGGCCATATTAAGGATATGAATATCATTCATTCCTAGGTACTGCACGATAGCCACAAAAATGAATACATAGAATTGACAAAATACTCTGCATGCTTCTAACTTGCTTAAAGTATCAATCAGTTACCATGTACGTATTTGCAGGGTAAATTAACTCCATAACATGCTTCATCTCCATGGTTAACTTCGATAAGTCAGCATCAATCTCTACAAGTTTCCACCTGCATTACCGAAGAAACCAATTTCAACAAAGTTGAAGGGTGCAATATAGAACGAATTAATAAAGGCTTCAATTCAAGTTGATCCTACTTCGGTGCAGAGACTTCTTATAATTGTTTCATGGCATTGTGTTGGACAAATTCCACAAATTCACTGTACAGAAAAAGAGAGTGCTCACTTTTCTTCATCCACAACGAGGGACTGCACTCCAGCAATTATGATCTTAAATAGTTATCCATATAAACAAACCAGAACTGCTTCACTAGTGTGCAAAAGGGAGTCTTTTTGTCTTCTTTTAGGGGTTCTTAAAACAACCGACTGCAGGTGCTTGTATGAGATAGGCATGAATAACAAATTATGTCCATCGAACAAGTAAGACTGGCTTAGAATCTAATCAGATGTCCTTGGAGTATGACGGAAAAGATCTAGAACCTCAAAACTAAAATGAAAGAATACAAGAAAGAGGAGATAAAGGATCTCTGGCATGTAATTTATCCAGTAAAAATTTAAAATTTTACCTTCTTGATGGTGCGATTCTTTTCAGTTCCTCTACTCCTGCCTTAGCAGAAATCCTATCGGGAGCGGACTGTCCATCAAAGCTTACATTAAGCAGATCAACCCCACCTACCAATACAAACACATACATAGATATGAAATTCAAAATATTTGAAATATAATTGCTTAAAGTGATAACAACTTGCATCATTTTGGAGATTCTGGGTTGAAAGATATTCAGGAGTAAGCAAGTCAAGTTTGTACATTCTACTTGAAATAATTTGAAATTTTTAAACGGAGCACTAAAATAAGAGAACAAGAAAGGAATCACTCAAGACCAAAAAATAATTGCAACTAAGCAAAATGCGATTTTTACAAATCCATAACAAAAAAAAAATAACCAATTCAACTATCCAAGAGTTCAGGTTGCACCTGTCAAACCTAGAATAAGAGATTAGGACTTATTTCTGTTTCCTTGTTGGACTAGATAGCAATACATTACAGTAGCGGAAGTTGAAGAAACATATGAAAAGCTTACAGTTTGGATCTATGGACTGGTCCAACAATGCAGCTAATATCATAGAATCCAAACCCCCAGAAAACAGCACCGCAATGGGAGTACAGTCCTCTTGTGCACTATCATCCGCCATCACCTATATGTGCATTTGAAAGGAATTGATCCATTCAAAACAATGTCATGAACCAAGACCATAAATAAGCTCCCTCGTCACTGAGAACTAAAGGAAAATGATTACGTGCCAAAGTGGTTTATATGCTTGAGAATTATAGTCACCAGAAAGTGACTTTTTGTCTTGTACAAGTCATTTGTTACGGTTTAGTGTTTACCTAACGAGAATTGCTTTGTTGTTTATTTCATGTGTCTAATCCATACAAGAACCTTTTCCCCAAGACGACTATTCAGTAAGTTAAGAAATGTCTACCTGAAATATGTCATTTTGTGAAGTTCTTAACATTACAGACTTCCTCAAAACACTCAGCACATTACGAGCCTGCCTTGATACTGAACTTTGTACAGGTACTGATAACCAAAAGCAAGCTCCAGTTAGCCATGCTCGAAGTGTTGGCAACCGCAATTTATTCAGCTGCCTAAATCCTGTCACGTGCCAATATACAAACTGTTATTTGTCAGGATTATACCTGATTTCAGGTAAATTGTCTCCGCTGAAGGTAAAATAAGCAACTCTCTTTGCTCCGTCGAATTGCAGGAGGAAAAATATGAGTCATGAGCTTGAGGATAGACAGAAGCTCTCTCCCATCTAATGAGTTCTTGTAATACTGTGTTAGCCCACTCATGTCTCTTGATACCACCAGCAATATACCCATCTTGAGGACTATAATCTAAGGAAACACTATATATTCCACAAGAAAGCTCCTCCCAGAAATTTGGCATGCTTCCATCTTTGATATCAACATCTACAACAGAGTTACAGAGCTTGTCATATTCATAAACAGTTCCCTTTTGCTGCATACAAACAGTATGAACAGAAGAAAGAAAAAGACTCAATACAAAACTGGAATCTCAAGGAATGAAGAGCTGAAAATGATGCCTTTCATAATGTAGAACCTCGTTAGTTGCCTACAGAAGCAAGCTAAAATGAAGCAATATCTTGTGATGTTACAGAATAGGCAGAAGAACAAACAATATCACAGGAATTTTAATTACAGTCAAACCAAGAGGAACTTCAATTTGCAGTCAAACCAGTGTAATATCAGAGGGACACAAGCTTATACATCTGACAGTGTGATAACTAATTGCACTTGCCGCAAAACTAACATAAGAGGGAAGTAAAAGGTACACAGAGGATCAAGATGAATAAAACTCTACCAAGCACTTTATACCAGAACTCTGATCAGCAGAAGAAAATGGTGACACCGAAGAAAGCAAAAACCGAGAGTCGACCTCATCTGGCCAATGAACAAGAAGGCTCCGTCTGCCAAATGCGTCTCGACCAAACCACAACGTCCTTGAATTTTCCTGCACAAGGCGATAAACAGTCAAAACACAGCAAAACTACTGGATAAAAGAAGCTCCAATACGCCAGCAATTACCTGCCAATAGATGATAGCCCAAGGCCCTTTGATCAGTGAAAGCACCTCCAGTACAGAATTTTGGTCTTCCCCGCTAGCAGAACACTCATTTAAGTGTCCATTGGAGTGGCAGGAGCAACAGTTCACCAACGTTTGCAAAAGAACTTCACTATCATTATCATCATGGGCGACTTCAATTCCTCCAAATATCTCACCTTTGAATCATGCCAATTCAGAAGAAAAAAAAAACTAATTTGTCAGCATAAGATTGTCTAAGAACATAGAACCATCACCAAAATGTGCAGGAAGCTACTCACCATTGAAGACAAGAACATTCCCAGATGAATCCAGGAAGGGTTGCGTCACACGACTCCTTCCCCTCAACTGCAATGTGGCTCCAATAAAGTGCAGTTCACCATCAGAGCAGTGCCCATCTTTCCCCAACTTGAAACTTTCTGTCGTTGTAGTGACTTCTTCTCTGGCGAAATTCCTCAAACAAGTGGAGCACTCCTGCTCTCCAAACTCTCCAGATCGCTCAAGCACGGAAATCACCAAATCCTCTTCTTGGTTTGCTTCTTCGATTGGGAAATTACCCTGACTGGATCCGACTATGAGCCTAACCTTCTTGCTGCCCAAGCTGTCAGGACCTCGTTGCCTAAGAGCTGATTTAAGATCATCAACGGAGAATTTCGAAGCAAAGCCAAGTGGAACCAAAGGTAGGGAGGAGGGAGAATCAGGGACCAGCGTTGACAGGTCGATGCGAATGCCGGACACGATCAAAGCTATTCCACACATCTTGCCACGGCCGTTTCTCCTTCAGCTGCAAAACAGAGGTTTATGGAGCCTTTTTAATGATATCTATTTCAACTTTTCTGCAAGATTTTTGTCATCAACTGCTTCCATAGTTATATAGTTGTAGACTTGCAGTACAATTTCTTTATGAGCGAAAGGCTGTGAGTTGAGTACAATTCACAACCCATGCAATAGCTGATATCATAAAATCAGAAGCTGTATAGAAGCTGCAGCATCTTCCCATGTAATGTTCCTTGCATGAAAAATTCAGTCACCAATCTACTTAATGATAGGTAAATCAAGTAGAGTTACAGGTAGATCCAAGAAAGACAAAAAGTAAGAAACTAGAGACTCAACAATGTGCCGAAACCATGCTGACTGCTAGTGCACAACATAACAACATCATAGTCATGGCTGGTAGCAAACATCATTTTAGCGTAACACTCAGAAAAAAAGATACTGCAGACAACCAGGAAAACAACACATTCTCCATAGCGCCATTAAAAAATAACTCTGCTGCATTACCAAGTTTCAATAGGTCTTTTCATCCGCACTTTTTCTCCCTGCGTTCCGGTATGGACTCCTAATGTAAATCACACATTGAGACTTTTTTGGGGTCAATATAGAAACTTTGCGGTATCATCCTGCTACTGTTGCTTGAAAACAACACAAACTAGAGACTCGAGAACAAATATAAGGGCCTTTAACTCTATTACTTAAACCATATTCAGTTCAGAATCAACAGTTCACAGCTCTTTCAAACAAAGCGACAAAGATTGGAGACTCTTCAATAAAACCATAATCGCCCAACTGTTACAGCAGAGTTTACACAAAGCCAATGACCTAGCTTGCAGCAAATGGTAGATCGTTTTTAAACTGGATTTTTTTTTCAATGAATTGAATAAGCTGTACCTAAACTCATAAACATAGAGATTATACTAAACAACAGATTACATACCAGTACTGTAGGTCTTAAATTCCAGCAAGTAGTTATCATATTTGGCACATGTATCTAGTAAAAAATATAATATATTATAGATGGAAATGGAATAGTGATGAAAGGTCCCAAGGTATTTGCATGATCAAGTTCAAAAAGATGAGTAAAATATGAAAACAAGAACCTCTTATGATAAATCAGATAATTGACATATGGGACAACCTGTAAACTTTGCATTAAGAACCTGTTGCGCCCAGTGTTTGCTGTAAAACCAGAATTTGTACAGATAAGAAACAAACTGTAGACTAGTAATATTACTAATTTCCCTCATACAAACTCCAGTTCTTTATTCAAGCATTTGTTATTTTATGGAGCTGAAAACAATGTGCCATGAACAAACACCAGCTACTGACGAAAAACGATCCCCATGATACTGAATAGGCCATTCAAATCGATCCCCATCAGCAGCTTTGGATTAGTCTAAGAGCCAAAAGACTCGGTAACATTGTCTTGTTTTATGAGAATAGAAGGATGCAACGCAGGGATGATTGTTTCTATGAGAGAATAATTGGGAGTGTTTGTGACTGACAAGCGTTACAGTAAGAGAATTAACGAACCTTGTGTCCCCAGAATGACAATCAGGTCGCGAGGTTGCAATCATGGAAATCGGTTGTCGCCTCTTCAGAAGGGTCCGCGAAGGCAGACCAGAGGCGTGCAAGCCGAGATGCTTCCAAGCTGGGAAGTTGCCAATGGTCTCTGATTAATGGGAAGACTTGGGAATTTCAAGAGGCAGATTGAGGGAGAAGAAAAGAAAGAATAAGAGAGGCGGACGGACGGTGGCAAAGGGGAGGAGTCAGGGGAAGAAGGCTAGGGTGCGGTTGCGGGACGGGAGCCGATACAATAACAACAGGGGTAAAAGGGTCACATTGACCCAAAATTAATAAAATAAAAATTAAATTAATTGACTTTCTCGGCTCATGCACTCTCTTCCTCTCCAACATAAATTGCTCCCAGTCCCGGATCTACACCCCCTGTGCGTCAGCATCATCCCCGAAGAATACGGCAGCGCCACCACATCGTCGGGATTTATCTTCACCGCGGGGAGAATCGGATCAATTTCGCCTCCCTTCCCCAGATCCGAGAATTTGAAAAACAGAGCATCGTCGTCAATCGTGACGATTTTCGCTTCCAGTTTGATTTTTTCGGCGAAATTGGAAAGCGTGATCACGAGCTTAGCTTTTGAGACGGCGAGCTGCTTGGCGATTTTCAACCGGGGTGTAGAAAGGATTTGCGGTGGTGACGACGGCGCCGAGGAAGGCAGGAGACGAGCGAGAGGGAGTAATCGATCCAGGACTTGGTGCGCCAGGAATGGAAGACGATTGTTACCTCCCACTCCCAGTTACCTTACGGATTGATGAGGTGAATGATGGGGAGAAAGGAGTTGGTGGTGAGGAAGCCATCTATATTTTTTTTGACAATGAGGAAGCCATCTATAGTGAATGAGTGATTCTACTATTAGTAATGTGACTGTCACTTGCTCCCGAAGTTGGCTTAGCTGCAAGAAGATGTATCATGTAACTGTTTATATAAAGTGAAATGGGTGGGAGAAAAGTCATGGAAGACTTCCTTTCCAAACACGGATCTGGGAGATAGAAATGGAAGAGTCAACGAATGTGCATATTTGCTTACTCAGGCGCCCACGAAAGCAAACAAGGACGCTAATCTATTTATCTATCTTAGATGGAGAAATACAAACCACTAATCTTTCAAAACATAATAAAAAATCACAAAACATACTATAATTATTTTTAAAGCATACCAGAAATCACCTAATATATACCACAAATTGCGTAAAACATACTAGAAACACCACAAAGCAAACCACAACTATTTCTAAAACACACCAAAAACTTCCTAATGCAAACCACAAATGCGATATAACTAACCACAAAAAAGCATACTAGAAACCTCCTAAAACAAACCACAAGTCTCCTAAAACAAACCAGAAATTTCACAAAGCAAACCATAAATATTTTGAAAAGCACACCAGAAACACCCTAATGCAAACCACAAACACGGAAAAGCAAACCAAAAAAAACAAACCAGAAACCTTCTAATGCAAACCACAAATATATTAAAATAAACCAGAAACCTCACAATGCAAACCACAAAATTTTTGAAAGCAAACCATAAACGTCCTAATGCAAACCACAAATATATTAAAACAAACTAGAAACCCCTCAATGCAAACCACAAAATTTTTGAAAGCAAACCAGAAACTTCTCAATGCAAACCACAAACATGAAAAAGCAAACCAGAAACTTCTTAATGAAAACCACAAACACGATAAAGCAAACCACAAAAGGCATACAAAAATATGAGAAACAAACCATAAATCTCACAATGCAGACCATAACATCCGGTGGTTGTTGGCCGTTGACCGGTCAACGAAGTTCGTTGACCAAACTCCGATGACCGTCAGTGGCCGGATTCCGGCGCCGATAAGCATATTCCGGCCCCGGTGACTAGATTCCGATGCCGGTAAGCATATTCCGACGCCGGTAAGCATATTTCGGCGAAGGTGAGCATATTCCGATGATAAAATGGCATATTCCGGCGACAAAAAAAGCATATTCCGGTGACCGACGACCAGATTCCGGCGACCGGTGGCCGAATTCCAACGACCAAAAATTTGGGCAGAAAATAAAAAAAATATTTTTTTATTTTTTTTATTATTTAAACATATTTTTCATAATGACAATTATACCTCTGCTTTGATTTTACACAATGTCAACTCATCTAATAAAAAGTCATCACAATCCTAGACTCCTATTGGTTGGAGGCTAGTGTTGTTACAATAACACAAGGGGTGTTGTCACACTATCTAGTCCCGTTGCGGGACAGGAAATTGAAAGAATAGAGAACTGGAGAAGATTTGTTTCGGGATGACGTGGACATTCTAGGGTTTTAGACTTTAGTAAGGATTGTCCATGTGACGGGGTAAGATCAGATACCTCAAGGTTGTCAAACCGGTTTAAGTCATTGATCTGGTCAAGTAAGGGGGTTTGAGGTTTAATGGTTTGATCGGGGTCGAGTCAGTTTAAGCCGTTTTAGACGTTTTCTAAATATATGTACAAATAAGGTAGTAATTAAAAATTTAATGACTGAAATAAAATTTATCTTACATATATCTATTAAAAACTTATTTTCGACAAAATAAATCTACCTAACCTTCATGACCCACCCACCATCTCCATTGCTTCATTCCTCTTCCACTCTTGGGTTAATGACAGAAATATTGTTTTTTTTTTAATTTACCACGAATATGGCCAGTTAAAAACTATTGACAAAGATATTGTATTTTAGAGATAAGAATCGGCGGGGACACCTGAGACTCAGGCGCTGCCGCTTTAGCTTGGTTTTTGGACCGTTTTATTTAGTTGGCAGCGGCGGCGCTCAAGACTCAGGTGGTGGCGCCCGATACTCAGGCGGTGGCGCCCGAGACTGAGGCGAGTAGGTGGGAAATCATCCCAGGCGGTGGCGCCCGAGACTGAGGCGAGTAGGTGGGAAATCATTGGCCACCCACCTTATAAAACCCAGACTATTTCGTTTCAGATTCACACCACAAAAAAAAATCGTCCAAAATAGAGGAGAGAGCTCTGGTTGCTGCTGCAAAAATGGCTAATAGGTAAGAGACACATTTATTTTTGTAATTATATTATTCAAATGCTATTATGATTGTGTTTAGTTTTTAATTAGTGAGTTTGTTTTTTTGTAGTGATTTTAGAAGATTTGAACTAGTTGTTCGGTGGAAATCGGAGAAAGTAGAGGATAATTTGGGCGTCAAATTCGTTGGTGGTAGTAGTTTTCAGTTGACGGTTCCATCCAGAGTCACATATCACAAACTTTGTGAGACTCTAATTCCGAGAATACGGCGCAGAGACGAAGCAGTAAAAGATAGTGATGTGATCACAGGTTTCACTTACCGTCTTCCAGAATGGCAGAATGATGTTTTATTTCATTATGCGTTACCTATTGTGGATGATGATAGCTTGGATGTGCTTTGGAATTTTATGGCACAAAATCCTTATTGTTTGGGTGCTGAGATACATGTTGAGCTCAGTGAGTATCAGGGTGGAGAGGAAGAAGATGATACATGGAGCGTGCCATCCGATCATGACTATGATCACGGTGATGACGGAGAGGAGGAAGATGAGGAGGAGGAGGAGGAGGAGGAAGGAGAGCAGCTTAATTATCCTCCATATTTTTACTTGCAGGGTAATGAAGAGGACGAAGAATTTGCACTTGCTGATTCATATGGTGTAATTCCAATGCCTATTGTTGATAGTTTTGAAGGAGAATTCTACAAGGGGCAGATATTTCACTCGAAACAAGCTGCACAGATGGCGATTAAACACCACGCACTACAACGCAACTTTCAATATGGCGTGGTGGAGTCGTCACCTTCAATATGGAAGGTCAGATGCTTGAGGCACAAGGATGACAATTGTCCTTGGATGGTGCGGTTTGGATGTCGAGATGTTGGGGGCGAATGGACTGTGAGAAAAGCTGAGTTGGTGCATTCTTGTAGCAGTACGACTCAACTGACGGATCATCGCCATCTTGATGTCGACATGATATCTGAGGCCGTCAAACATTTGGTACGTGCCCACCTGAGGCCATGTTTCCCATCGTAGCATGCTGCGGTGTATGGAAGCTATCCTCTGGCTGATAGAAGCTCGAAGACGGATCTGACTGAAACTGCTGTCGTGGCGGCGGCTGAAAGCTCGATGACGGATCTGACTGAAACTGCTGTCGTCGCGGCGGCTGAAAGCTCGAGGAAGGATCTGACTGAAACTGCGCCCGAGGCGGATTAAACTGGAAGCTCCTCGATGTAGGCCGGATGGGCTGTGCTCGCTGTCGATCTGAAACCCGAAATGGGTTAGGTGCATCACGATGCTCACGTCGCTGTCTACGTGGCCTATGCTCCTGTCTGAACTGTGGCTTTGGTACGACCCAGCCCGGTGTCGGATCAGTACGCTCTGGCCAGGCAGTTATGACGGGCCCCTCATAATGGCGCTGTACAGGTACTGTGAGATCAGGGTATCTACGCTGCTCAAACCCTAGAGTAGCAACCCCGGATGCCATAAAGTTGGCCAAGTCCTCACACTGGTCGGGGGTCAGCCCTCCAGCCCGTACACCGTCACGCAAACTCACCTCAGCATGCTCGATAGTGTCGTACTAAAAAACACCAACAAAAATGTCAAATATTTCACACAATTAACAACAAATTAAGCAAATAAATCAAATAACTAACCAACACCTCTGCTGCAGCTCCTCTCCGTGTGCCGGAACGTTTGGTGACATCTCTATACCACTCCATATGCTCCGAGTGGTAGGCTAACTCCTCATCAGTATATGGAGCCGTCGCTACAAACTCGTGTCGACGGTTCCATAAAGCAATCGACTCTCTGGAGGCGTGTACCAACTGCTGCGCACGCGATGGCCCACGAGTAGCCTGGCGAAGAAAAAACCTAACCTCAGCCTCAGAATGTGGCGGATGAGGCTCATGCTGCCTCATGCCAAACTGCCGGAGCACGCGGTCTGGATGATGCCACATCACCGATGAAAAGCAGATAAGTGGCACTACTGCTTGAAATGTCTCAGACTGTAGCACACTACCTCTGAGATGAAGTGCTCTCTCAAAGTAAGGTTGCCACTACATTAAATCCAAAAATTAACGTTATTATCCCTAAATCTAAAAAAATAAAACAAATGAAAACTATTCTATAAAATGAAATGTTATATACTAACCACCACGGTGTCCATCGCGTCAAACCACAGCTTGTACTGGAATAGCTGGTCACCATACTGACGACTGTTGGCCAAAAGCCATCGAAGACCACGTGGGAATGCATTCTCGGTGGCCTGTGCCCTCGTCTCGGAATCTCGAGGTGCCAGATGTGGGAATCGCTCCCACGCCCAAAACTACAGTAGGGCGACCCATCCACCAAGGTCACCGCTAAGAGAAGTGCCGGTATGCATAATGTGCAAAGTCGACCTACCCATCTCACGGTACAGGTAGGATAAAACAGCAGCTCCCCAGGCAAACCGTCCAGCTCTCTCCCCATCCTCAATCAGAAGTAGGTACTGTAGGTGCACCGTACTTCCAGACCGATCCGAGAAAAGTACACCTCCAAGCAGAGATAGAGCATAAGCTCGTGCAAACTGCTCTATAACCTCCTGTGATGCATTCTCCGGCAGATGACTGAATTCAACCCTCAGCCAAACAATCCTAACAACAGCGACACTGCCTACAAGATCGGCCGGAACTCGTCCTAACAGTCTCAAACAGATCGCCGACCACTCCTCATCCGGTATATCAACTACGACGGCATCACCGTCGATCGCCAGACCGGACAGTGTAACAACGTCCTCTAACGTGATCGTGATCTCACCACACGGTAGATGGAAGGTCGACGTCTCGGGGCGCCACCGCTCTACGAGCGCAGTAATCAAACTCGCATCGGGGTTCATAGGGACTAGGGGCACGACACTTAACAAGCCTGCCGCTTCGAGATATGGCCGATAAAGCTCATGGTAAGGTACTAAAATGGTCGTACCTCGAACATGGTACGATCGATCACTAGCCTATAGTGCACAAAACTTATATTAATTCATTTTCATTCGTAATAATTATAATTTCACCTAATAAATTCTAATCTGTCTTATCTAACATAAAATTATACTAATTTGAAATTATACTAATTTCACCTAACAGTTCAGTTCACAACCTAAAATAATCTAATTAGCTAATTAACTTTACATGAATAATTATCAAATACTTACCTCGTTTGTCCAAACAGAGTCGATACGATGTTGGCCATGTCCCCAAAGAAATGTCGGATCGACCGGACTTGGATCAATTGTCGCCGGCGGTAATCTCATCGAATAAGGATCCATAAGCCTAGGAACTGCAAAAACAAAGCAACAAAACATTAAAAAAAAATCAAGCTGCCGACGACAGTCTCGCCGCGCAAACGGCCACCGACTCCACCACGACCTTGCCGACCTCTCCCTCTGCCTCTGCCGGCGGCTAGTGGTTCTTCGTCGGAGGACATCTCGGGCGGCGGCGGTTCAGTCAAAGGCGGTGGCGCTTCTGTCAAAGGCGGCGGCGCTTCAGTCTGGGACGGCGGCGCTCGAGTCGGCAGCGGCGGCGCTCGTGTCTGCGGCGGTGGCGCCCGAGTCTGCGGCGGCGGCGCCTAAGTCTGGGGCGGTAGCGGTTGCGGCGGGCGACAAGGCTGGTCTCTGGTTCGCAGGGTTGGGGGGGAGGAAGAAGAAGAGAGGAGGAGGATGTGTGGTGTGGGAGGGGATAAGGTGGGAGGGGGACCGTCGGAATTTAAAAAAAAAAAGAGTCCGGGGCTCTCCCGCCTGAATCTCGGGCGCCAGCGCCTAGGACTAATTAAAAAAATTTGACTGAGGCGGGGCCGCTTGAGACTGGGGCGCCAGCGCCCAGGACTGGGTAAAAAATCAGTCCCGCCTGAGTCTCAGGTGGTCCCACCTCAATCCTTACTAAAAAACACAATATTTGTGTCAATAGTTTTTAATTTGTAATATTAGTGGTAAATTAAAAAAAAACAATATTTGTGTCATTAATCCTCCTCTCTTCCCCTTCTCTTCTTCTCTCTCTTTAGGGGTCAGACTGGTAGACTTTTTGGAGGCCGTTTTGAAGCTCGACCCGTATCGGACCGGGTCCAACCGTGGGTTCGATAGGGGTTTAACAACCTTGGGTACCCTAGTCACTTTCCTACGTCAATCTCAGTCATTCAACCTCATTAAAATTCAATAGTTTCAATTAATTCAATTTAATGAAGGATGATATAGTAATTACATGATTTTTTAATTTTTAATTATTAACTAATAATAAAATTCCTCCACCTGTCACTCATCGGCCGGAAAATTGTCCCCGTCCCCGAGCCGTCTCTTCCCTCTAGCTATGGGTCTGGCGTTCCGACAAGTTTGGCCGGCGAACATTTGCTGGGCAAGATTTCGCGATGGCGGAGGAGGTTTTCCGGCAACCAGAGATGGTGGAGGAGGATTTTCCGGCGACAGTGCTGGATTCGTGATGTTTGTAGACCTATATTGTAATGTTTATTAGTTCAGTTTGTAATGTTTATATCAATTTTGCTTGTGTTGTTTATTATTTTTGTTTATCATTTTTGTCTATTATATTTGTAATGTTTATATGACTACTTTGTATATATTGTAATTTGTAAGGTTTGTTTATCTAGTTTGTGCTTTTATGTTATGATTTGTATACTTTATATTCATTGGTTTGTAATACAAGTTTACCAATTTGTAATGTTAGTAGTGGTATTCTGTACGGTTAGTATGCTTTGTACAATTTTCTATTTCTTTTGTAATGTTTGTAAGTTTTGTTATTTTGTTATGTTTATCGGTTACTTTTGTAATGTTTGTAAGCTTTGTTATTTTTGTGCACCATATTTGTAATTTTTGTCAACCATGTTTGTAATGTTTTTTATGTCTGAAAAATAACCAGGTTGACTTTTGGATGGAACTTCTCTACATAGAGATGAAACCTCCAAAGTCAACTCGGGTGTTTTTCCATTTGTATTATTTGTCGGTCTAGTTTGTAATGTTTGTCCACCACGTTTGTAATGTTTGTATGTCTAAAAAACAACCGGGTTGACTTTGGGACAGAGCCCCTCTATATAGGGATGAAGCCTCCAAAGTCAACCCGCTTGTTTTTTCGTTTTTATTTGGTTTGTATTGTTTGTCGGTCTAGTTTGTATAGTTCGTATGTTTCGTATTGTTTGTAAATCTGTTTGTAAGTTTTGTTGCTCTAGTTTGTATTGTTCTTATGTTTGTATGGTTTGTACTTTGTACTGATTGTAAGTCTAGTTTGTATACTTCGTAATTTTTCATAATACCAAAACTACCCCTGTCATTAATTAAATAGCTCTTTCCACTTTTTAACCGTTACATTGATGTGTCCATATCTAAGGGGTTGGAGGGGCTTAGTCAAGTGACTAAGCACTCCCCCCCCCCCCAAGTCACACGATCCTTCTTCTGACGGGGGCGAGTTGACTAACGGTTCGTTTGGTTCATGGATTTGAGAAAGGATAAATTGCAAGTTTGGTCACTAGAATTACTATAAAAGTTCACGTTTGTCACTAAAATTATTTTATCTCATCCGTAGTCACTTAAATTAGTTTAAGATTCCAAGTTTGGTTACTGGTTATTAGTGTCCGTTAACATTTGCTGATGTGGCAGTCAACTCTTATAGTTGACCATTAAATAAGTGACATGCCATTTAAAAATCATGAAAAATTAATATTTATAATTTCCACCTCATTATAACAATAAATTATTTTTATGAATTTTATTATTATATCAACAAATTAAAGTAAATAAAACAAAACAAATATTATAACTACCAAAATTGAAACCCACCTTTTTCGTCGTTCTTCCCAAAACTCCAAACCCAATATCATCTTCCACCTTTTTGGTCGTTCTTCTTATAACTCCAAACCCCAAACCATCTTCTCCACGCGGCCAAAAGTGATTCCGTCGGCCGCCACGCTGGTGGTCGCAAGGAGAATACAGGCCACGTCGGTGGCGATGCAAGTGTTGATTCCCTCGTCGCTAGTTCTTTCAATCCCTCGAGCTGAATCGCCAGTTGGATCGAATACGTCGCCTTCTTCAACGATGATACCACCAAAACCCTCGTCCGCAAGGACATTATAATCGCGTGGTGCGGGACCGTCACACGACTGGAATGCATCGTGGCTTTAAAAGGCTTCCGGACATCTTTAATCCAGCTCGTGACCCGACTGGCAGAGTAATCGGACCCATCTCTCGCGAGACCCTCATTGTGCATATCTCTATCAAGGTAGAGAAAATCGAGGAGGAACAACACGTCCAGCATCGCTCATACGCCGCTTGTGAATCGAGCAATTGGCAACTGAAATCGGAGCCTCTGGAATACTGAACTGGCGAATGGTCGTTTGGATTGAAGGGGCTAAAAGTCATGGCGCTTGAGGATTAGGAAGGAGAGAGAGGAGAAAACAGAAGAGAATGATGTTGGGGAGGAGGGGGAAGAGTTCGATTATGATTCATCGTCGAACTAGAAACTCAACGACGGATTCTGAGAAGAAGAGAGCATCGGCGAAGGAGGTGGGAAAGAACAGGAAACAATCAACACCTTGGTCAAACGGTTAGGTGTTTAAGAAATTGTTAGGAATAAAATTGTATTTTTAATAGTTGTGAAAATGAGGTGGAAATTATAAAATATTAAGGGCTAATACCACTACAACACCTAAACTACTCAAAAAATGGCACTTATTCCTATTGTTTTAAATATTCCATCTGTGTCCTGAACTATTATTCGGTTAGCGTTGACCGCGGTTGACTGTTAGTATTTAACAGAAAACACAGTCAGCTCTAACGTGGCACATGACGTGGAATTTTAATTATATTTATATTTATTTTCAATGTCATCTAAAAAAATAATTAAAATAAAAAATTGATTCTCATTTCTTTTCCCAATACCCGTCGTCACCGTCATCCCTCTCCATTACCCTTCGTCACCACCGTCATGGAGTCCGCGACTACTCGTTACGAGCCATCTGATTACCCCGCAGCCGCTGGCGCCGCCTCCAATGAAAGCCCGCAACCTCTGCCTGACGCAAATGTATCTCACTCCAAAGTCGGGGGGAGCTGTGGATTTGAAGCGGCAACGATGAAGTCTAAAATATAAATAATTCAGATCCAATTTCAACCCCCCCCCCAATTCTTGGTGAGGGCTCCCCAATCTAAAAACCAAAGGCCCTAATCTCAATCCCAACGTGTGAGAGTTCAATTAATCCAACAGACATCCATGCAATCTTTATCTACTTGCAGAGATCTCACCCAATTAGGCAATTGCACAAGAATCCTCACTCTGAAGCTAGCTTTGAACGAAGAACACTTCTCTGGAGGGATGAAAATGGCGACCTATCTCTGCCTCGCTCTCCGTCCAACCCTCCTGCGCTTTGAGTAAAATCTCCTCCGTCCCGTCGGCTCCATGCCGGACAAAGACAAATACTGCCAAAGTTATGATTCTTGTAACAGCATGGAGAAAATCCGGGGTCGGGGCCGAGCTCCATCCTCATTAGAACAACAGTAACAACAACAATGGAAAGGGACTTCTGTGACTGTTCGTGTTCGGGTTCAACAACTGCGGCTACTAAGTGATATGGGGCAGGGGTTCTAAGGCTTCGCTAATCAGAGAGATCGAGCGGCAGCTGCGTCCAGTTCCGAAGCACTACTTACTGAAAATGGTTTGGTTTAATTCGACAATGCCCTAATTGTTTCTAAATCGTCGGTGAAACCCATTCCACTGAATTAATGGGGGATTCGGGAAGCGGAAGCGATGGAGCAAGGTCCGGGACTTGGTGTTGAATGCGCAGGGTCGGGTGAGCACGAAATTGAAGCGACAGAGAAGGAAGGTGATGGCGGTGGGGATAGTGTCGGCGGTGGATCTCCTCTCCCAGATGATAGATCCCTGCCCTCTCTGATTCGCTGGTCGCGAGCAGAAGGAGGAAGCGGAGGAGAGAAGATGAACTTTTTGTATTTTTTTGTAATATTTTTAGCAATATTCTTGAATTAATTTTTTTTAATTTTAAAATCTAATTTTAATATAAACTTTGAATTAAAAGATGATGTGGAAATGACATGGCGCCTATGTGGATGCCACATTTTTTGCCAAGTTAGCAAAAGTCAATAACAGTTTGACCTCTGTCTTGTCAACCGTTATCTTTAACGGTCAACGAAATTGGGAGGACATAAATGACAAAAAGGAACATACGAAAGGACATAAATTGAATATTGAAAAGAATATGACACAAGTGACATTTTTGTCATAGCTCGGGTGTTTTAGTAGTATTAGCCCAAATATTAGTTATAAATATTTTTAACTGCTACGTCATTTAGTTAACGGTCAACTATGAGAGTTGACCGCCACATCAGCAAAAGTTCACGGAAACTAGTATACAATGACCAAACTTGAAATGTATAACTAATTTAAGTGAATACGAATGGAATAAATTAATTTTAGTGGCAAATAAGAACTTTTATAGTAATTCTAGTGACCAAACTTGCAATTTACTCATTTGAAAAATGAGGGTTTTGGAAAATCATGTATATATGATGGATTTGATGGCATTATGGATTTGAACATGTCTATTGTTTACTTGTTGGATTTGATTATGGATTTTCTTAATTAGATTTGTGGATGTGAAATACGAATTATCTTGTTACACTTATCTAATTATATTTCTATATTATAATCCAAAATTTTCATCTAAGAAATTTTAAACTATTTACCACTATGTAGACTAATAATCCAACTACAAATATAGAAATGTATTATAATTTGGCACTAATTAATAATTCATCTAATAATGTACGCAATATTATGTATCAGTTGCAACCAGTTGCTCGCCTTATTTCTATAACTTATCATATTCTTCCTAACTCCCCGATTTTGGAATCCGACCGTCAATCAAATAATAATGCACAAGATGAGGATAGAGTGTTCATAGTTGAATCTAACAAATCACATGCACATTCATATTTAAATAAAATACAATACGACATTACACACGAAATGATAAATTCTCTTTCTCATATTTATAAAATAAGGAAGGGTAGAATTTGCAATTAAGAAAGTTTATAGTTGCATGGCCATTGAAATAAAATAGGACAAATTTGCAATTAAGAAAATAAGGAAGGGTAGAAGAGTAAATTACCATAATAGTTTTTTTAATCCATCACCCAAATCCCACCTCAAGAGGTGGAACTGTCAAATTCGTGAACCCCACAGATTCCATCTTTCTAATTCCTTAAGGCAAACGATAAATTTTCGTTAAATTTCATTATAGATGGATTTTCATAACCAAATTCATCATCAAAACCCTCAAGAAAATGACCCGTAAGGCATTAACATTAAATTTGTTAGTTTGTCGCTAATACTAGCTTTCAAAAGTAACATTTGTTTATGAATTTATGTATTTTAAGGGGTTAATCATAATGAATGAGAATTTATACATGAGGGGCACATTGTTCATTATTAAAAATTTAGGGAGGAGAAAGATATAAAGATGTGTGTGCATTAATTGTTGGGGATGACAAAACACAAACCACTAAAACAAAAGACAACACTATAAAGTAACATTCGTTTCCTTCAGTTTTATGCTGCTTCCAGCCATGGTTTGGCTATTTTCTTCCCCTTCATGAGTCTCCCTCCTCCTCTTTGTTGGGTTGAGCTTTTGTTTCGCTCGTCTCTTTCATATACGAAGATGATGTTGGTCTAAGATGCAAAGGAGATCGAATTTGTTTTGAGTCGGCTTGTCTTCTCTTCACTCTTTTGTCTACCTCCTTGCTTCACCTTGCAGATCTGGGTGCTCCGGAGATGTGGCTCTCGACCTGGACTCGGAATGAAGATCTTTAAGACTAAGGATCATCCCAATGTTTCGTCGTCTGCCACTCTTTCGATTTGAGTCTCTCTTTGTTGTGTGGACGTCGAGATGGGTTCGGCGGTTAGGCCGATGAGGTTTCATTGGAGGCGTATGTTGTTTCCACTGCTTCCAGTCGGTTTGGTTGAATCTAGTATGGTTGTGGTTGCTGAAGGTGTGCTGGGCTTCGTCCAGCGGCGGCAACCGTTTCTTTGGGAGCGTAATGCAATTACGGTTTGATTGTTGGACATGTTGTTGCCTTGACATGGTCTTATTGCGTTTTTTGGGCTTTGGTGTAATTTTCATTCTCTACTTTTATTATTTTTTGTACTTTTCCACAGGGTATGACCCTTTTGCGTCATAATGAACAATCCTTTCACCAAAAAAAAGTTTGCTCTCCTCTCCAACAGACTATCGAACCACCAAAATTGACAAAACCCACCAGACCCGGTGACCTCGACATCCAACATCCTTCAGAGCTGCTAACCTCGCTAGTCGTGAACCTCATCAATCGGCATCCTCGCGATTTGTTGGCCAAATCTTTGAAAATGGAGGGAATAAAGGTCGATGGTGTGCGTAACCGTGACTTGTGCAAAATTGGAGAGATTGGGTGATTGCGACTGCTCCCTTGGACTTGGGCTAAGTCAATGAGAGAAGGCGACAACGAGATTGGGCGACATCAGGAAGAGTGAGCGACGACGACAAGGTTTGATCGACAGTGAGGATATGTGAAGAAGAACGAAGAGGGTGTTCTGTGGGTGAACGATAAGTTTGGAACAAATAAAAAATATGGGATTTCAAAATAGCTGACCCCCATCAACTATTTCACAATCCCACATATGTGGGTTTTTAAAATCCCTGATAGCCACAATTTCAGCTCTTCCTAAATGTGTTATTTGATTGAAATTCACATTGTGTGGGATTGTTTTAAAATCCTACACCACAGTCCTGCTACATTCCTACATCCAAACGACTCTATGTTGTTTGGATGCATGATTTTAATTAGAGGGATTTGTGAAAGATTTGATTTGAAATTCCGCAACTAAAAACCAGATATTTGTCATTAACGATTTGTATCAAATATCTTGTTTATTAAGAGATGTGGGTTTTTAATGAGAAAAACGAAATTTATATTTTTTTTCCTTCTAATGAAAAAAATATGTTGTTTAACTGCAAATGCTTCGGCAGCGGCGGAGGCATCGAAGGCGATGAGCTTCTATGACATATTGACCTGAAGCGCCATTGCCTCAGAGATTAATCTTTCGCGACGGTTCAAGCCAACTCCAAGTTGGAAACCTAGGGCTAGGTTTTCACTTCTCCTTTCGAAAATTACCTCGGCGTCTACAACAGCCACAACGGCCCTCAAGCTTCCCATTTCGTAACTCGCCGTCTCTTCCCTTTCTTCTACGGTGAATTAGGAACATTAGATGTA